TAGAATGATTTTACAATAAGTATTACTGTAAGAAGTACGGTATATCAGATTTCTTTTTCTTCCGCAACATGCTCTGGTAAAAGTGGATTTTATGGTAAAATGTACCGACACCCTGAGTGCCGATACCATTTGTCGAAATTTTATCAGGATTTTTTTGCAGTGTAGCTATCTAATTACACAAACTTTGTAAGATCTATATTCAGAGCTACCGTAAGGGTGGGACAAGTCTAACATTCGCTAAAGGTCCCACATTCCTCTCTAGGGAGCTCTACTCTAGGGAGCTCTACTCTAGGGAGCATACTCATTCATACTCCAGGGAGCTTCATGTTGGTTATATTGAAAAATTAAAAATAATTTCAATAATTAAAAAAATTTTAATATTAGTATTGCATTGTTAGTACTTTACTTTCTATATAATTTACTGGTGGAATTTAAAAGAAGGCAGTAGTATTCAACTTTTAAGAAGCCGTGCTCAAAATACATTTTTATTAATCAAAATAGTATAATTAGAAAACTAAATTCATTTATAAATTTTTAGATGGATATTTCTTCTAGGCTCTAAAACGCAAAAATTTTTAAAGCCACTAATGTATAATAAAATTAAGCAGTAGTATAAAATTTAAAGAAAAAAAGAGCTATATGGATTCAGGAATGAAATTTGAAAGAAAAAAAATTCAACACTAATAGCGAAATTCTGATGTCCTGCAAAGGGACAGCACAAAGAAATATTTAAAGAACCCTGATTAAACTTTTTTTAAAAATTATTTTTATAAAATATTGCAAAATCTAACGATGGTTCTATCAATGTTGAAAATAGTTCATATGGTTACCTATTGGCCTGATGGCTCATTTGGCATTTTGAGGTACAAAAAACTGAAAATTAATAATAGAAAAAAAATTAAAATTGGTATTTTAATAGATATTTAGTTTTACTAGTATAATATTTTCTTTATATTTTTATCTTTTTCAGAAATAACTAAGACAAACACCTCGTCTAGTGGATGGTAGACATCGAATGCAAATCCGGCCGTCCGTCCCTCTAAGTGTGTTCCCGGATAATTTTCTTCTCTTTCTCTCTCAATCCAACTACAAAACAAAAAAAAGATATCGATTAAGAGGTAAGGACATTATATTGTAAATTAAATAAATAATCCCAAGAAACTGAAGTCGTTAGATATTACTTGATTAAAGACGTCACGCGCTTCAAAAATAAACAAATTAGAAATAACAGTCGACCTGCTTCAAGCGCTCAAAAACAGGCGCTCATTTTAAAGATTTTCCAGACGTGAATAAAAAGAAACAGAGTTGATTAGGCATATAATACGTAAAGTTACCAAAGAAAAAAATGGAATTTTTAATCAAGTAGTAATAAATAGTACAAGGAATCACTTTTTTCTGCAGATATTAAACAGAAAATTTTACATTTCGAATTGGTAAGTAAATTGATTTTCGTTTATTGTGATTAGAAATATGCCAATGCACGCGTTTCAAACATTTTATTTTTATTTATTATAGTTTTGATGAAAGAAACGGATTATGATTCTACATAAAAAGTTAGAAAAAATTTTCCGAATACTATAATTTCGATACAATGTGTATTAAAAGTGATGAAGGCTGAATCTATCACCTTGTGACCAGGTCAACGAACTTTAGTCAACAATAGAAATTCAGTACTAATGCTGAATATTTTTTTTTCAAGACTCCATATTTTTTATATACCAAAAAGAGTTGAAATATCCTTGTTAACTAATAATCTGGGCTAGAATGTTGATGATAAATGCATTCAATTATTTATTTATTTGGCCTATTTAGTGTTTTTTTCTTTGTTGGAGACTGTTCATGTTTTTCTTGCCATTTTTGCACATTTTAGAATTCGTCCCTTTTTTAAAACATTTTTTATTAATCTTGAATTAAAGATATATATATTTTTAAAAGTTCTTTTTGCTTGAAAATTTGCTTTTTTTCCCTTATGAAATAGTGCAAATTTTGCATTGAATCTTATTAATTTAAATTTTCTCCAATAACAAGTGCAGTTGTTAAACAGAAATTTTCGAGATATAAGCGCTCGCTTTTGGCCAATCGACTATCTTTGAAGATTATCAAAAACATTTGAATAATACAATAAGCAATTCACATATGATGTTCTTGAAATTTGTAACAAAAAATTAATAAATTCTTTTATTTATTTTTATTAGGTATTTAATTTATTTATAAATAACATACTAACTTAAACTATGACATTATTTTCTTATTATGCTGCTGTTTTTATGACTCTTGGTCAAACCAATCTCGCCAGCCATTGGCATTTTACGAATTAAGTTTGGAAGGAGCACCTTTCGTTTGACAAGAGAGCACTGTAAGGGTGAAAGTACATCTTAGCTCAAAACCCCAAGGATAGATGGCAGCACCACTCAGTCGTGAGGCTACTTCCTCAATTTTGACATGGATTTGAATGGAATTGAAGTTTTCTCCAAATTCCTGTACCTATGCTACTGCTCAGTGACCGATCATAGAACTTTCGAATTCACAGATTTTGCGAGCACGTATATTGCATGTACTCGGTTTAACTTAGCGACTTAGAGGATAAAAAACGGAACGAAATCCGATGCTCTTATCACTGGTCGATCACAACTATTTTTTATCAATTCAAGTTACAGTTGATAATTTTTTTAGAATTTTTTTTATCACAAGCCGATTCTCAGAAACTTTTATGGACATTATTTCTCATTTTAAGAAAAATTTTTTTATAATTTTAAAAGTTTTTTTTTTTTTGCTGCTCTTTTCAAGGATATTTTTTAGGAATTTTTAAGTCATCAACATCCAGCCTTGTTAATAATACTTGCCTTTGTAAATTATCAGTGATGGTATAGAAGGGCATCCCTTTTCTTCGAAGTGTGCCTTCAAATTGTTCTGCGGTGGATCCGGATACGTGAAGTGTAACATTTTCCATAACGCGCACAGGTTCCGTCCAAAAATCAAACTATGAGAAAGTAAATAAGGTTATACTATGCAAGTGAGTATTGAATAATAAGCACTTAATTTCATAGGGTTTTCGCTTCAGTAGAAAAAATATTTGTACTATGACACAAAAAGCAAAAATATAACAGTTTAAAACTTAGTAATAATCTAATAACTCTCTGGATAATTGTCTCTAATTGATAATAGTCTAAATTCTTTTCTCACTGTTGTTGGCTGCTGAAACATTCTACTACTGCAATAGCTACTGTGGCAATAGGTGCCTAATATAGGTACTGTGGTAATAAATTATTAACAAGCCCCGATGATATTTTTTTATATATTTTTTTAATAACGGCAGGCAGCATAACTTTCGTTCTTCGAATTAGAAGATGCCGGAAGTGTTGCTCATTTAACGTTACCCAGTGGGCACCTGTGAACCAAAGTCACGGAGGCGAGCAACATTACCCACGCTACACTGCCACAAATACCCGTTCATAGGGTGGGCCACATCCATACATTCACACATATGAAGACAACAGAGAGAGGGAGATACATCCATGCCCAGAGCGAGATTCGAACCCGCAGCCATTGGCTTCGCAGTCAGGCACGCTAACCACTCGGCCAATAGGCCGGCCCCCTCTGATATGGAATAATACCTTTTTTTCTGAAGAGTAGTACTAAGTAGAAAAAGATACTTAATAGTTATAGGGACCATGAACTCGCCAACACTTAGAAACATCGCCGAATTCTGGTTTAAACGGGTCACTTGTTACCGATAAAACCAATATAGGTGTACCGAAAACAACAATATCACGATCATATGACGACTAACGTACATATCGAATACGATAATATTGCGATCATTATTGATCGTCATAATTTTTATGTTAATATTATAAAATCGGGACTACATCATTGATAACATAAAGTATCAAAAAGATAATATCGCAAATATTATAAATAACTGTAGTTTTTAAATACGTTATTATTGTAAGTTCTCATAAATTTTATATTTGGGTAGCAAAAATATTGATTACTGCAAAAACATATTTATTAGATAAATCGGAAAATATCAAGATNTATATATATTCATTTTTTTACAGTACAACATATTAAAATTCGTAATTATAAGTCAAAGAGACCAATGTTTGTGTTGTGTGACTACGTGGAAAAGTAAAAACCAACATAAAATATAAGTTAAAGTTTCCACTGCCGATACTCTCAACTTTTCCCCATATAACTACTCGAGCCGTGATGGCTCAGGGGACAGAGCATTCGCCTTCCAATGAGGTGAACCGGGTTCGAATCCAAGCAATGACTGGCTGATACGAATTCCGCATAGAGCGTACACCAACCACAGTGATGACGTAAAATATCCTCAGTGGTAGACAGATCGTGGCTAACAGTGGAGGATTTTCGTGGTTTTCCTCTCCATGTCAACGTAAATACGGGTTAATTCCATCAAAATGTCCTTCGTAAAAAAAAATCTCCACAAATCTCCCAAATTTGGTCTAGGAGTTCCCTTGTCTTCTGGCTTGGGTTCAAAACTGCAAGGCTACTGTGTTGAACATTAGCAGCCGTGAACCCAAAAATTGGGTCGGCTGTTCAACGACGGTTATAAAAAAATATGAAAATAAAATATATAACTACTCGGAGCAGTGGTGGCTTAGGGGATAGAGCGCTCACCTCCCAATGAGGTGAATCGGATTTGAATCCTAGCAATGGCTGGTCGATACTAATGGCCGATTGCTAGTCGTAAGCCCAAAATTGGGTCTGTTGGTTAACGAAGGGTATAAAATATATAACTACTCGTTGTCGGAATAGTCTGGTCGGTAGAGCGTAGGACTCATGTTCATGAGAACGGGAGTTCAAATCCAGCTAGCCACAAAATACCCGCATATTAAATGGTGGCTATTGCAAGTTAAATCTGTCGGGAAAATTAAATCAGTAAATCACAAAGTCCACCAATTTCACTGCGCTTTGATCCAAGAGTTCTCTTATCTTATGGATTGGGTTCGAAATTACAAAGCTACAGACTTGAACATAGATAGTCCTAAACTTAAAATCGGAGTCGGCTGTTCAATGACGCTTATAAAATGAAATATTGAACTACTTTACCAATTTTTCCTTTCATATAGCTGATAAGTACCCCGAAAAATAGTTAATTCAAATACTATTTTTATTTATTCATAAGTCAAACTAGTGATTTTTAAAAGGCACATATTACCATTTAAATGCTCAAAATTAGTCAATTTAAATTGACTCTTTTAAGTAAACGAATATTTCCGTTCTAATTCTTTTTTCATCAAAATCAGTGAGTCTACTAAATACTTATAATTAACATTATTATTTAATTCACTATAATTTTGATTGGACGAAATAATAGTAAAATTTTACAAATTGAATTTTAACAAGTTCAAAATTTAACACATCTACTGATAGATTTTGGCATGGTTCAATCAAAACATGATAAAACAAAACTCATGGAGAATCCATCTAGTTTTCTGTAATGGGCAAGCAATTTTAATTCAATTTAAACATAATTTCGGAGATAGTAATTTTTGATGGCTATGTGGAACACTTTTGCCACAATTTCCTTTATGTTATTAATAAATTTTATGTTTTTTTTAATTGCACAGATTTTTGGCGAAATTTCAGATTATTAAAAATATTGTTCGTTTTTGGCAAATATTTAATCATTTAAGAATTTTTTTCTAAAGTTTTGCCATTTTCCTTTTCGATATTCTCGTCTTAACCGTGCATAAAAACTCTATAAATTTTTCCTTTCCAATTTTATCCTTGTTTCTAAGCAATATTCTTCAGGATCAATATTCGGCTTACTATCTACTTGTTTTTTTGCTCCTGTGCAACAATCTTCTTCAGGATTAATATTTGGCTGACTTTCCACTTGTTCCGTTCCCCTTAAGCAACGACATTCTTCTTGATTGATATTTGGCTGACTCTCCACTTGTTTCGTTCCTCTTAAGCAACGATCTTCTTCAGGATTAATATTTGGCTGACTTTCCACTTGCTTCCTTGCTCCTAAGCAACGGTCTTCTTCATGATTAATCTTTAGCTGACTTTCTGCTTGCTTCTTTGCTCTAAAGCAATATTCGTTTTTAAAATTTAGCAAGTTCTGAAGACATACTAAGGTTGGAGAATTGCTGTTTTTAATATTTTCAGCGGCAAATTCGACAGCAAAATCCATTGTAATGGAAGATAGCGTAACAGTGGTATTTAGAATTCTTGAAGGGAGAGTTTCTATAATTTCGTCAATTGTTTCCTCATACTCGTTGAAGATTGGCCTCAAGTACCATTGATATAAACATTCCACACCAGATAGCTTTGATGATGTAAGCCAGAAGAAAATGATGAGAACAATGTCATTGTAAAGTGGGAACCAAAATCGAAAAACAATATCTGTCAGACTAAGGCAGACGAGAAACATTGCAAATAATATCCAGTGTAGTAGCCATTTTGAAATGTCCATTTGATTTTCAGATTTAAGTGCTTTGAGAGATCCATGAAGGGGTAAGATTGCTCCATAGATGAGAAGAATGGAATCAACGAATACCCGAGGAATCATTTTATTTATAAAATTCCAATTGCAAGATATAATTTTAAATTCGATATCATAAAAAAGAATGTAGGTTCTATGAACATATCATAAGAAATATTCAAATTTATTTCTGCGATTTATGCTGTTCGCACGTTACATCTAGAGCTCATCTTGCTTGATTGAACCCCGTGAAAAAATGGGACTTCAGACTTACATACAGACATGCTTTAAGAAAAGAATACAGTTTCGTTGATTTGGTGGAAAGAAAAAGTATGAATACCATTTAAGCCATGCAAAACCTAGGAACGTTGATTTTTCATTAATACTTTTACCACTTTTTTATCAACTCACTTTCGTATCACAGAGGGTGATGCAATCGAAATTTCGATCATTTTCCGACTTGATAGAACATTCAAATGTCTGTTGAGTTTTCGTATCTGATAACAATACAAGTTTCAAGTCATTTTCTGATCACCACAAGCAAAATCTATCGTGATTTAATCACCAAATAAAATTTATTGTTGATCGAATTTCCCACTGAACTAAGGTTTTCAAATCTGATCTGGAGCTCCGTATCTGATGACAATGTAAATTGTAATCGTTTTCTAACTGCTATAAGCAAACTTTTTCGCCATACTGTAGCACATAGAAATTTCAATCATTTCCCCACCAAACTAAAGTGGAACTCCGTATCTGATGACAATGTAATTTGCAATCGTTTTCTAACTGCTATAAGCAAACTTTGTCGCGATTTTATCGTACATCAAATTTTTGACCATTTTTCCGCAAAACAAGAGTGCTTAAATCTCATCTGGAGCTCCGTATCTGATGACAATGTAAATTGTAATCGTTTTCTAACTATTATAAGCTATAATTAGTTATATTAGGCCGTTGATAATAGAAGCAAAGAATATTAAATCTAACCAAACTTTAAATTAATGGTACTTTTCCATTAGCTTGGCACTAGTAAATTTAAAGATTTTTTTTTAAATGGTCGTCACACAAAATAATAAGTGGAATAAAATAAAAAAGAAGAGCACCAGATTAAGATATAAATAACTATAATATGGTCACTCACGAAATACATTAATAAAAAATAGTCGTGAATATCAAATGACTTTTATGAACAAATGACATTAGTTAAACTCAAGTTAAGATTCTAACTCTCTCCTGACTAACACAGCTTTAGTAAATTATAAAAACTTAATTTGATAAATACCACAATGTGAAGGGAAAAAACCAGCTCCTAAAGATTTAAAAAGAATTGAAAATTCTACATCAATAAGAGTCTTTCTTTTAAAATTCAATAAGGGCCGATTTACTGCATCAGGTTGAATTGATTTTTATTTTGGGCTTCACTGTTTTTCTAATTTTTGGGACATTTGTTTGAAGATAGTATTTTCAGTTTTTTAAAGAAAAACATAAAAGAAGTATCAAATCACATATAAGTTTAATCGTAAAACAAACCTCAGGATCTTCCATGTAATATCGGAGTGTTTCCACTTCATCTGAATTTCTCGGTACCATTCCCAGTAACTTGTGTCTGTGAAAAAAAAGGGGGAACTATTAAATGAACAGTGATGGTATTAAGAGATTTACATGGTAATCCTTATGCTCCACTTGTAATATCATACTTTTAGGATCAGTAATGAAAATTAAGTAAGTAAGATCTCCATTGAAGAGATTGCAAATGAAATCATCAAGTCTTCCTTGAAGAGATCGTAAACGACATAATAGAATCTACATTGTAGGAACCGCAAATGAAATCATCAAGTCTTCCTTGAAGAGACCGTAAACGACATAATAGAATCTACATTGTAGGAACCGCAAATGAAATCTGTTGGATTCCTACAATGTAGATCCTAGTGTATACGAATTTCAACAAATTCACTTACAATGAATGAAATCTTTAAACCCCGCTTGTAATAAACACTTTTAAAATAAATGTTAAAAGTGAAGCTAATGGGAGCTACAGTGAAGAGATTGAAAATTAAATTTGTAGAACCCATGTTGGAGGGATCGCAAATGAAATCAGCAAGTCTACGTTGAAGAGACCGTAAATCTGTAGGACCTTCGATGAAGAGATTATAAATAAAATTAGTAGGACTTTCAGTATAACAGTTGCTCGATGGTTTTCTAGATGAGAGAAAGAGAAAAAAGTCTCACGCCAGAACAAATTTGAACTGAAATTTGAAATTCACAAGTCTAAATGCTTCCTTTTTATTTTTTTATTCTAACTCAATTGAAATTGGTTTAAATCTCCACGTTTTTCATGGAGTGCAAACCAAGAGTTTTGACTGCTTCTGGTTTGCATACAGAGTTTCAAAACACTTTAATTAGCAAAAAGGAGTTGGATGTTGCATTTTGAGTACTTTCTGCCGATAAATTCGTTATGAAATCGCTAGTATTTTCCGTCCTGTTTTGATAAAAAATGTTTTTCCAATCAGATCAATCACATTATACAGAGTTTGATTTAAAGACTGAGAAAGCTTCTTGAATTTTTGTACTCGTGAAACATGGTTAAAATTGATTTTAAATGTGCATAAAAAAAGTTAACACACATCACCTAACCATGAACAAGCCCCTATTTTTTTACGGCCATGGTTGGAGTGCTACTCAATTTTATCCTTGATCAGACGTCTGAGGCAGTGCCTGAGCTAGCCCTTTCTCCAAACCTCCATAGAACAACAGACAAGAAAACAAACGACAGATTAAACGTCACTTAAGTTTCAGTTGGCTACCAGGATCGAACAAAAAAATTCATGTAAGTTGTTAATAACCATCAAATACTATCATAAATGCAGGATTATTCATAATTCCCTCCGCCTGTAAACGTCATTTTTCTTTACTACAACTGGATTCAGTGGTACATGTTACTGCCATCTACCGGCAACTGCTTAAATTAAAACTTGAATACTTTCAGAATAATTTCATATGTTCTTTTTTGCCATATTCGTCTTCGTTTTCTTACTGTAACACTTCGAAAACCCGGAGGGAATTATGAATAATCCTGTATATAATAATTGATGGTTAGAACAAGAGAAAAAAACAAACATTTCAAAATTAATTTTACTTACCCAGTAAAATTTTGAAACGCATGCAGATGACCAATGAGTATAAATGTTATAGTATGAAACAAAATTCTTTTCCGCAGCGTCATTTTTCTAAAATAAGAAATAAACAAAAAAAAAATTAATCAGAAATGCTATTACGTAAAATAATAATAATAATAAATACTAATGAAAACAATCTATGACATCCTATATATTGGTGGACAGAAGTTTACAGCTCATAAAAATATAAAAAAGAAAATTTTTATAATTATTAAATTTTGCAATTTAATTCAACAATGTTCGAAATTTTCTTAGCATATCAGTCCAAAAAAATTTCACATGATTTAGAAATATTTTAAACTGTAAAATCCTAAATGTATCTAATACAATATCTATGATCCTAAATATATCCCTATATGTACTCCTAATGCAATATCTATGATCCTAAATATATCCCTATATGTACTCCTAATACAATATCTATGATCCTAAATTTATCTCTATATGTACTCCTAATACAATATCTATGATCCTAAATATATACCTATATGTACTCCTAATACAATATCTATGATCCTAAATTTATCTCTATATGTACTCCTAATACAATAGCTATGATCCTAAATATATCCCTGTATGTACTTCTAATACAATATCTATAATCCCAAATTTATCTCTATATGTACTCTTAATACAATATCTATGATCCTAAATATATCCCTATATGTACTCCTAATACAATATCTATGATCCTAAAAATATCCCTATAAGTTTATGAGCAATGAATTTGCAAAAGAGTTGTACTTCGCTTCTCGAAAACTATTCAGCTTCGAATCAAATTTTGTATTTTGTTGAATAACTTAGCGAGAATGGCGCCAGACTTTGCCGGACAGGGGGGCTCAAGCAAATAAATTCGAAATATTTAAATTAAAACGAATTTCATGCCTTACATTTTTTTTCTCACATCATTTTCTTCAAGTGTGTTTCTAAGAATATAAAATCACTAATATTGATACCATAATGTACAGATTCATTTTAATGCAAATTTAAACAGAATTTTTTTCTGTTATTGATGTATTTTGTACTGCATGGTGCAACTACCACACATTGTAAGCTTAAAAATTACTGGAATTAAATGCAAAACTTTTTCAATTCGCTTAAAAATAAATTGGAATATAGTGAAATGCGCACAAATTAAAGTTAACATTTAAGGGTCCAAACTCACAAACGCGCTCCTGAAAAAACTATTAAAGCAATGTTACCAAATTGAAGCTACTATATTTTCGGGGCCAGAAATCTGAATTAGTCGAAAAAAGGTATGTTTAATCAGAGAAAGTGGTTCGCATGCCTAATTTCCTAACTTAAAATAATTTTTGCACTAATTAATTAGTATAGTTGACGTCACCCTCTCGAACCATTAAGAACGAGTCGTAGAACATGAAGATCCGAACTTTAGATAAAAAGTTATTCCGATGGGTCCATTTACTTTTTGCGCGCTGTACATTTTTTGAAGTATATGCCAATATTGCTGTTGATAGTAAAATATTTTTACATTTTTATATAGTAAGGTAATTTAGCTGGTGTTTATCCACATATATATGCTTTGATAACCTTAAGGATTATGATTGGTGGAGGAAAATAATGTGAAATGATGTTTACTTTCAGTATTAATACCAGATATAAATAAATAAAAACGTTCTCTATTTTGTCATTTTTCGTTAATTTTGGTAATAGAAAAATTCATTTTACTTAAACGAATTTTTGCTGCTATTGCGGAAAGCTATTTTTTTTTTTTTTTTGAACTCGTTATAAACAAAGAATTTTTGTATCTTAAATATTAATGTTTTGAAGGCATCGTAATATCGGACATCTCGCAATATGAATCTCGATATATCAAGCTTTCACTGTACTTTAATTTGCAAAAATACGAAAGGAAATTTTGGTTTAAAGAATAAAATAATTTCACCTATGGAAAGTGTATTAAAATTATACTAAACTAGTTTTGATATATGTTGCAAAAAATTTCCAAGAAAAAAAGTTACTATCAGTATTTTTAATTTTCATTCAGAATTTTTTAATAGGTTTTTTTTAAAATTTAAGACATATTAAATTTAATCTGCATTATTGACTCAAATCTATTAATGAAAAAGGAAGGGAAGGGTAATAAACCTTACAATGTATGTACATTTACAAGACAGAAATAAGTTAATTCTAAATGATTAAATGAGAATATTTTTCATTTCATACGAAATTCTTGTTAAATAAATAAATAGAATTTACTTTTCACCAAAAATAAGTAAATAAATATTAGCAAAAAAATTTATTAATTTACTGCAAGATTATTTATTGTAAGGTATTAACTTTATTTTAGTACTGGTATTAATTCAAGCAGATGATTTTTGCTTTTAACATTAAGAAACTTGCTGTTTTGCTATTTTGAACCAAACTTAGAGTAGAAGGGAACTTCTTGTAAAGTTTTATGACAAATTCACTATCATGGAGGACATCAGAATTGAAACAAGCTCACATTTGCTTTACTTTTATATATATATATATATATATATATATAACATCTAAAATACTAGCTTAATAAAATTAAAAGGATCTTGAAACTAAACTTAAAAAGAATAAATATTTTATTTGCAGACAAGCTTTTCTGATTGAAGAAAACATTAAATAATCTCTTTCTCATAAGTAACTAAGCTCTTCGCGTATATCTTAAGTTTTATTGAATAGCGAGGAAATCTTTACTTATAAAATGAATCCAGACCGCGCAGTAAAATATCTTAATGAAGCCGAATTCCCATTAAAATCAAGAACTATATTGAGATATTAGTTCATTTCCATCTGGTTTTAAGATCTTACGGCACCAGTTCTAACAAAGAAGTCTGGATTTTATAGATCACATGACATGAATGAATAATTATATGTTACACGTTAAAAAGTGCGCACTTATCTTTTGGAAATGATACTGTAAACTTGTACCCAGGAGCTCTGCTCCACTTGTATATAAATTGTAAATAGATTTCTTTATTCTTTTCCTCAATGAAAGCCTAGAAAAATTAGTATGTGGTCATCCTTATAAAAAAGGAAATTAAAATATGACTGCAAATATTATAGATTGCAATATTATGATAAAATAAAGGTCACGGCTCAAGAGTTTAGCAGAAAACACGAGAAGAAGCACTACATATATATAAAAAAAAACATGAAAATACTTTATGGTTAGCTCGAGGGCAAGATTATTCTCACACATGATCCCTCTACCAATGGAAGTATTGTATGTCAGAACTGTGTGTTGTCAGTGCAAAGCAAGAGCAGCATATGAATAAACATGGGAGTTCGAACCCAAGTCTCATCAGTAGGAAGTGAAATTAATTATCACATTAGCCATATCGGCTCTAAAACATATGTTATTTAAGTTGTGAAAAAGAATGGAAAATTTTATATACAGTATTATAAATTTCGTTATAATGTAAACGCGGTTTTGCCATTTCTCCATCATATAATTTTGGAGAAAGCGGTGTCTATAATAATACAAAAAACAAATAAATAAAAAAAATTTGGCGTAATAGAATAAATTCTATTTTCTCGACAGGAAGACGAATTTTTCCGACGAGAGCAGAGAATTTATTATCATATATAAATATATACACTATTTAAGAGCAAATTTAAAAAAAAAAAAAAAATAAGATTGGCAGAACAAACTTAGTTCTTTACTACTTCCAAATAATTTAAAAATAGAATTCTTTGCATTAAACGGTGTGACATTTAACAAAATAGTTTTCTTTGTTGAATGCGGAGAAAGTGTGCATGCATTATCATCAGTCTCAAAAAGTGTGGTAACGTGAATACGATGGGGTAGAAGCTATTAAAATTTTAAAATTTAAAATTAAACTATATTAAATTAAGAGTGAAAAGTACCTTTTCATTCTCACTGAGTGTATTTTCTTTAATGTTATACAAATTAAAAAGATCTTAGTACCAACATTAATGAGAACTTGTAATTAGGACATTAATGAGAATTTGAGAAAATTCAATTTCGAAACAATAGGCGAAGTTTTTTTTTCTTGAATTAAAACCATGTTATTTAAATGAGAAGTAGAATAGTTCAAAATATTACTGAATTTAAAATTGCCCAATGAATTTTCCAACCAAATCCCGTATTTTTAAATTTATAAATTTAACTGCATAAATTTTTTTATTAACATCTTTCTTCTAAATGATTATCAGTTGTGCATTTTATATGTGGGAAAAGTAAATTTGAAATTAAAATTTAGTTTGGTTTATTTACTTATTTATTTTTTTAGAATATAAAATTTTTTCCATGACTATATTTTTTCACAAATTTCCTTTTCCCTATTTCTTTCTTAACAATGGCACTTGTATGGTAACAATGGTATAAAAATGGAACCCTTCTTCTGTTGGTTCATTTTGAACGAATCATTGTTTAGCATTGTTGCGTACGTACTTCAAAAGAAATTATAGTATATTAAACAATGATATAAGCCATTTCTATTAGAAATACTTTGTATGTATGTGCTCTGAGTTTAACTTTCAATTCTAAATCAACGATGTTTAAAGCGATCAAGAAAATGTAAGCAATTTTTAAATAGAATTTAGTTAATAACAATTTAAATTAAACATATCAGGCTCTTAAAGTATATTTAATTTTGAAATTTCTTACAAGGAGAAAGCAAATCACTATTCTAAATTAAAAACATAAGTCATAATCTATTCAAAATGCATTAGACGTAAGTTGAAATTTACTTAAAAGTTTAAAATTGAAATAAATGCAATAATGTACTTCACTACAAATGCAGATGGTAAAGTGATTTAGAACAATTTCATAAACTGAATTCGCTGATTTTAGTTTACTTTAGTACCATAGTTTAAAATATAGCCGTTTTAAAAATGAAATATATTTATCTTGAATTAATGATGCAGTGGTATAAGCAAAAGAAATGTTTTGAATTGCTGTCTAAAAATACTTCGATAAATTTAACTATGCTTAAATGAATGCCAATTTGGATTTTATTTAAATTATAGAAATAAAATATTGGAACGATCATGAACAACCATCATCCCATTGTAAAAATTCGGACTAATTT